CTGCTTACAGCTCTTCCTCATCCTTCCTACAGTCCCCAGTCTTCACTGCATCCCCATTCCTTCCTCTGGCCCTGTCATCTCCTCTGGCATCTTTAACCATCCAGTTCAGGCATTGTAACTTCAGTCCAACACCCTGCGTCATCCTCCCCCACAGACCTCCCAACACCTGCAAGTCCCACAGATCCTATTCCACTACAAAGAAACCCAGTATATCCACTTCCTTTATGAAGCTTGCTTGCTCTAATAACTGGATGCTGTTTGCTGCTTTCCCCCAGAGTATACAAGAGTATTGCTTGTACTGTACTCTTTCATGTCCCTATTACCTCTAGGGCCTTATATTATTTGTTCTGGAAGAACATGATTTCATTACTGTCAGATGATTTCTGTTCCTTGTAAAGCACTTATTGGTGTTACCTTGGGGTACTGCATAAATAAGACAAATCTCGCAATGTCTCTCTGATGAGAGGGCTTAAACCCAACCAGTCTGTCCAAAAGCACCTCGAGTTTTGTATCAGTAAAAGCCTGGGAGCATACCATTTCTGACAAAATAAGGGAGAAGATTAATGTACAGCAAAGAAGCTGTGTTGGTTCTATTGTCCTTAACAAACAGTGTGCACCAAATAAAGCTACCTGAGTGAATAAGAAACACAATGGACATTACAGGTAGCTCGCCTAAACCCTTCTATAGCTAGGGAAACATTTCTCAAGGTCATCTACTGTGATCATCTAGGCAACCATTTGCATTGCCACCTCTGAACTTTTGTTTATGCACATTTCACTTAGCACAGGTGCTAATGGACTTCATTTCCAGAAAATATTCACCACAAAGCTTAAAGGATTAATTTCAAGTAAGGCTTGCATTTATACAGAAAGTTATAAAATAATAAAATGTCTCCAAAGCATGATTTAAATGATTGCTATTTAATCCTATGTTTTCCTCTTGACAAAAAGACTTGAATACCTTTCATTTATTTAAAGGTGCTTCATATTTTCACAAAGTACAAAAGTTGAATAGTGAAGAAATATGTGTGCATTTTTGCATTTTATTTCTTTTAAATGATAAAGAAGACCTTGATAATTCAACATCTAAGTCTCATTTTCAACAAGAATCAGAAAACTGTCAAAGACAAACTGTTTTCCATCACACAAATGACTTGATCATGGATAATAAAATTGCAGAAACCCAAAATCTAAATAGCCATGTAAATGGGTTCTATGTTTTTTGAGACAGATGGTGGATCACAACGGTGATGGGTTATGAATTCCAAAAAGATTGTCCTCCAGAATATAATAAAAAGTGAGTGGAGAAGTAGATTTACAATACAGTTAAAGTGGAACCAAAATAGAAAAATCACATCAATTTTTAAGAGATCAAGAAGGCAGAAACAGAGAGCATATAGATTTTATTGGAAACACTCTGGGAAGAAGACCATTTTGAATTGAAACATTATGCATATGTTAACAGAAGGAAATTGGAATGTGTTTCAGCTGGATGAGTAACGTTATCTGCTTCATTCCAAGTCATGCCAAGACTAGAAAACTGCAGCTTACTGCACCTACCAGTTACCTCACCACTTGCCATTGACCCAGAGTTGTGCCCACTAACCCTGGCGATAGCTGGAACTCTTAATCTCCTGTGTCTAGCTGTCAGCTGCTTGAGTGTGAAACTGGCAAAGTAGAAACTATTATCTAAACCAATTAAGGCTTAATTAATAAGATCTTATGTTGCAGTGGAACTTGAAGTAACCCAGACTGAAGTATAGATTAGTCTATCTAGGAAAGAATCAACAGTCACCCTTTGTCCAATGGCCAACAATAAATGAATTCCAGGAAGGCATGAGCAAAGGAGGTAAAGAAGAGCAAAGGTCAGCATTATGACTGCTTTGATATATATCTGTGTGCCATTTAGCTATATTATTTTAGTACATCTGCATCCCCCTCCCAACACACACACTAACACACAGTCCTACACCTGCCTGCAGCCCCATCTTTGTCTCCCACCACTCTTCTCCCCTCTCCCTACACTCCAGTTCAGCTAGTCTTTGCTCAGTTAAGTCATAATCCTTCCCAACTCAGAATCCTCCTACTTCTCTTCTTCTGCCTTACCCTGCCCTCCATTAACCAAGGAAACTTCTATTCAGGTTTTGATCCTCCTTTAAATATCACTTCCCCTACTATAGCTTCAAATCAATTTGCAGGTTTCCTTCAATGTATTCATCCCAGGTGTGCTTAACTGCAATGTCTGTCTTGAGTAGAGAGCAAACTCCAAGAGGGATCCCATCTTTGGGTGTTTTTGTTTGTTTGTTTTTGTTTTTGTACACATAGGAGTGCTTACTATTGTACTTGAGCCATAGGAAAAGTCCAATGAATGTTAATTGAATGAAAGGAGAAAAAAAGTGTCATTTTGACCCAGAGTGTCACTGAACACATCCCAAAGTCCTCCTGCTGCACAAGCTGAAACCAACGCTTTGCAGCCCAAAGGAAGGTCACTTGTTGATACATAATTGCTTGTCTTTATCCCCTGGATTCAGATGGAAACCTTAAGGCTTTCCCTGTAGATATTTTGGTAACCAGGAAAAGTAGAAGATGCTTGGAATTTAGAAGAAGATAGGAAATAGAAGATGACTCTGGCCTGGGTCTGGGGAGCAAAGTAACTGGTGCCATTATTATTTGTGGAATGCCAAGCAGAGGTGCGGACAACAGTGAGCGATCTCCACACACACAGACTATAACCAAATGGCAAGTGGCAGAGGGTTCTTGGGAGTCCTGGAGTGATTTCATGGGGTTTGTTATAATCTACTTCAATGTAAGACTTGCTAATTATTTTAATGTAATGTTATGTGGTCATATACTTGGAAAAAGCAGTCCCTGGTTTGGGGAGGAGGATGAGTTCCAGAAAGTTTATAAAAACAGGTCTGAAACTGTGGAAGTCACACCCAGAGATCTATGAGGAAATGTACTCTATTGTCGATGCCATTGTTGACTCATGTTATCCTGGGTGGAAGTATACTTTATGAAGGTCACTGAGCCATGACTCCTCCACAAGAGACCTATCAGACAACCCTGCTCAAAAGCGTAGTTCTGCAACATTATGCATGTTTTCATTTTTTTCCACAACCACTGTAAGTTTGGGAAAACTTGCACCATATCCCTTTCTTAGAGATTCACAGTGTGCTTAGCCCAGTGATGGAAAGCCCTGCTTTAGGGAAGCCTTCAAATCATTTGACTATAAATTTTTCTTATTTTCAGAAAATAAGAAATGTGCATGTGTCAATCAGGATTGTTTCAGTAAGACTGCTGTATCAGATAAGTTCTAACCCTCAGTGTCTTGTAAAAAGGAGGTGCATTTCTTTCACGCCACACATTCTTTGTTGAGAAACTGGTGGTCATATACCTTGAGGTCATCACTCCAGCCTGGGGTGTCAGTGTAGCCACCGTCTTAAGTGTTTTTGGTCACTCTAGCAAAGAGAAGGTGACCTGTGGTTGTTTCCACATGAAATATTTTAGTCTGAAAGTGACATCTGGAGTTTTGGCTCATAACTTATTGAACAGAAAGGTCACATGGCCCCTCGCAACCCCATGGCCTGATGAGTTCCTACCCTAGCACATGTCTGGAAGGCAGACAGCACTGACACTGGCTGAACGCTAAAGCTTGTTGAAGTGCAATTGGAAATCACTGCTATTGAATGATTTTTAAAATAAGATTAATCATCACTATTAAGAATATTTAGCAGCTATCCCCAAGTTATACATCCCTACTTAACAGGGAATCAGAAATGGAAGTTTAAGTTTTCCAGTCATATCTAGAAGGAGGGGGAAGGGACAAAAACAATAATTTGGAAAATTTTATGAAAACAATTTAAGTCTCTAGTGGACTACCCACATCAGATAAAGAAAGTCATTTTTAGTCAATTGTTCATTGCTTCTCTCAAATATAAATGCTATGTAACAGGAAGCATGGATGATACCTTTATTATAATCCATTTGTAGGGCGCTAAGAGAGAGGTAAGCCATAAATGTCATAGGATGTTTTCTTCAAAGATGTGCAATTAGTGTTATTAGCAGATAAATACCATAATAATAGCAATAATGTATAGACTCTAAATTAAAAAATTAAGTGTATTTTGTACCACTGCCATAGCCTCTGAAAATTAACTTCTCATGAAATCTTTCAGGTTCAGTTATTAATTATCTAATGCCCTGGTATCCTGTTCGATAGTTGACCATAACCATATCACGTGACACAGTACAAAAAGATATAATCACCTTGGTTTAAGATGTTATCACCTGCCTATCAGGCAAAATGCATGTACTGATCAGTGGTCATTCAAAAGACTTAGTTCACTGTTTCTGTGAGGAATAGGGTATCTTACACATATATTTTCTACCTCATCACTTCCAAGTTTCTCTTGATTTGTTCCTTATATATGTACTATATAAAGCCATCATTAAATTACCTAGTATATGTAAAATGCTTTAAGCATGACTTGTGGCACATAGTAGTCATTAATTAAGTGCTAGTGGTTATTTTTGTTATCTTTAATTTTTACAGTGATATTTCATATATGTCCCACTCCTTACAGAAATGCTCAAGTGTGACTGACTTAGCAAGTTCAATCCAGGGCTCCTAGAAGATAAAGTCTAATACACAATATGTCTATATTTTTTTATTTGGGACAGAAAGGTCAAATCACCTTAGAAATTATCAAAGTGATAAAAAAAATCTATTTGAACTAATTTATGTGTATGTGTACCTCTAGATTAATTCAATCAAGTGATTACTTAAAATGGTAAAGTTGAGGTAAAAATCTTAAATAATTATTGTTAACTCTACCACAAAGATACTCTGGTTGAAACATCCTCTTTCACATGGTTTTAACTTCAGGCTGTGATAAATCACTTGTTATATTATTAAAGAATTTTTATTATATATTTTATTTTTATAATAATGAATCTGATATCCTCTAATCTCCTTTGATTTGTTATATATCATCTATACATCATTCATTCCATTCACTTAAAGCATCATCTTCATGTGCGGGTATATTTGTTGGTGATTGGTCAAGGGAAGTTGAATCTTTGTACTTCGTTGAACTCAAGTCAGACTGCAATTCAGTTGATGAGGCTTTTGCTCCCCAGAAAGCCTTGACTGCAGCCCTGAGGATAAGAAGAAGAAGAAAAAAAAAAACTTGATGAAATGAAAACATAAACTCAATATAGAGAGAAGTGTCTCCTTAGTCATGATTTCTTTTAGCTGGTGCATCCATGGCATTGTGATACCAGATAAAACCTCAGATGCACCAGGGTATAATATTCATGTGGCCACTTATAAATTTTAGAGTTGTGAAAACTACAACTGGGCAACACAAATATTTTATTGGTTTTGTTTTGTTTTATTGTTGCAAAAATCTCATTTTAAACTCTCTTAGCTAGGGAAGCCAATCATGAGGTGAAGTAGACTAAACTAGGACAGTGGCAGAAGGAATGAAGGGAGCTAGAGTTTCAAGGACAAATGTGAGAGATGTCAAGGACAAATCTCTGGATTTATTGGAAAAGAGAGGGGAAAACAAAATTTCAATCAAGGATGATGACCCAGTTTTAATCCTTCACCTACCAATTTAAAATTATGAAGATAAGTACAAAGATCACGAATACACAGATAACGACTCCTATAGTCAGCACAAAAACTAGGACTGCATCAGTATCTGGTCGAGATGATCTTTTCATCTGCAGTTCTAGAGGGAAAAACACAAAACTGATGATTATTGATTGCTACTGGGGTCTGAAGAAAGGCCATGGATATCTAAATGGAAACTTTGTGTCTGAAATAAAATTTAGAAAAATTATTATAAATTATTAAAGGGGAAAATTACTACTGAACCAGCTCTGTACATTTGAGATTGCCATTGGAAAAACAAAAAGAATTTAACAATGAACATCCTGTAATCCACCACCTAAATACTACCATCAATATTTAACAGTTTATCAATCCACTGATGAATGTTTTTGTTTTCATGCAATTCAACATAATTTGCTGATGTTTGCATACCTCTTGCAATATTCTTCAACAGGTATATCATTAATAGGAATTCGGTATTTGTTTACACATTTTCTTTTGAAGTAAATTTCATAGACAGTGCTTGCACAACATCTAAATATACACTTGCTTGAGTTTTGCAGGGGTAAACCCACATTTGTAATCCAAACCACTATCTAGATAGCATATAACTATGCTATGGAAAGGTCCTGAGTCTCTCTCTGTCAATCCTTGTCCTATTCTTGAGACAATTATTGCCCTGATGTTCTTTTTTACTGTGTTGTAGTTCTGCCTATTCTGGAACTTCATAGGAATGGAAAAATACACCATTTGTGTGTGTGTGTGTGTGTGTGTGTGTATGTAAAGCTTTTGTATTCAACATAATGTTTTAGAGATGCACCTATACTCTTGATTGATCGATACTATTTTTTTTCTTTTATTCCTCAGAAGTATTGCTCAAGTTGTTTCTTCATTCTCCTACTGATGGGCACTGTGTGTATTCTAGTTTGGGGATATTATAAATAAATAAACAGTTATGAACATTGTAATAAAAGTCACTTCATAAACATACATTTTTATTTCTCTTGAATAAATATCTAAGATTGGAACTGTTGGTTCATAGGGTTGAGGTGCACTTGGTTTTCAAGAAACTCCAAGACCATGTCCCAAATTGATAGAACTGGTTGCACATGTTTGTGAATTTTATCTCCCAGATCTTGGCTGGCCTATTCATTTTTCTAATGATCTCTCTTAATGAGCTGAAGTTTTTAATTTTGATGAAACCTAATTTATTGATGTTTCCTTTTATGGTGGTTGTTTTCTGAGTCATGTCTAAGAAGCCCTTGCCTACTCCTGAATCATGCAGATTTTCTGTGTTGCCTCTTAAAGCTTTCAGATTCAGTTTGTATATTTAAAATCATGATACAACTTTCACTTTTATATGTTTTAAAGGAGTGGATGAATGTCATGATTTTTCATAAAAATCACTTTTAAGTCAGGAATTCTTTTCCATATTTTTCCATTCTTCCTGTAAATAAGGCCATTCAAGATTCGCAGCCAGTTTACCAGATGTGTTATAAAATTGTCACATTGTAAATTGTTGAAAGGCCCATTTACATCAAATACTACTTACTTTGTCAATTATGTAGCTTTCTTGTAGCTCTTCAGGTTGGAAATCATAGAATCATAATAGATTCAAATGGGGAAGAGCCAGAGAGATCATCTGATACAATTATCAAATCACACATTTGAATAAAACTATATGCAGGGAGTTTTAATGATTTATGGAAGCTATGTTTTATGTATTTTAATATTAAATTTTAGTATCACGCTCTCATAAGTAGTGTCCTATAGGGACAACTTCAACTACTTATTTGTCCTAGTCTTTAGACACCTTTTAACTCAATTTAGTCATCTTACTAAAAAATTCATGTATGATAGAAAAAAATACTCCAATATTGTTTGAGTTTTTAAATATTTGTATTTTTTATATTGGGGGAAGGATTTTTAAGTGAAAGTTAAAAAACATCTTTTAGGATTAAAACATGAGGGAAAGAAGGGCAAAATTTTTTTTTTTTTTTTTTAAGATTTATTTATTATGCACACAGAACTGGAATACAGGCCGAGGTGCAGGGGTGTAAGAGGATTCAGAGACAGAGTTGGGAGCAGAACAGGCCATCCACGAAGTACAGTGCTGAGGGGAGTAGTCGGCAGGTCAGGAGAGGTCTGCACCATGTAGATCACCTCTGGGGCAGGGATCAAACTCATGTTGAAGTGGCTTTAGCTTCTTAGTGCTGTGCTTTAGCCCGCTGCGCCACCAGGAAGGACCCCAAAATTTCTTTTCATTTACCCACTATCCTGTCATACTACTCAAGAGAGGTTAGAGAGTAAGGTATATTAAGATTTTAAATCATTTTAACAGTAATCAGCTTGCAAGGGTCATTTATATTATTTTATAGTTAATTTTTAAAAATGAACTGCATTTCTTAGTGAAATTTTGTAATAATAAATAAATAGGCTGAATTTTGATGCTGTCATTAAAAAAAAAGAAAACAAAAAACTAAGTTTCCTAGAGCAAACAAACAAAGTTCTACACAATGGGTAACTTTAAAAGTAGAAATTTATTGTCTCACAGCTTTGGAGATGAAAAAAGCCTGATTTGGTAAGGCAAATATGCAGAAGGTTTAGAGGAGAGAACCCTCTTTCCTTTTCTAGCTCTGACAGCATCAGATGTTCCTTGTCTTGTGACAGCTTAACTCAATCGATTTTGCTTGACTGTGTTCTCCCTGTGTTTCTCTGTACCTCTCTTTTTCCACTTTCTCCCTCCAAAGTTCCCTCTTTCCCTAAGGACACTAATCATAGTCTACAAAAGTCCTCTCTATTCTAGCATGATCTTATCTTAAACGTGATATACAAATATGGTACATTTTCAGGTTCTGGAAATTAAGATTTTCAAGTATCTTTTCAGGAGAAAAAGTTCAATCCTAATAATGAAAAGCAACTATGGTGGAAGTGAAAAATCTGACTTTTAAGGGAATAGTGGAAAATTTTTATTAACTAAACCATATTCACTTAAAAATAATTCAGTTATGTATTTGTTTCAAGCTAGTACTGTATTATGTGTCCATTCCTAGTCAAACATTCATTTGATGTTTCAGCCACGAAAGAGTCTACCTCAGTGGCACACCTAATTGCCACTTTTATATATATACTCATACAGAACTAGGGTATAGGCCAGAGGTACAGGGACGGTGAGAGGCTTCACCAGAGACAGAGAGGGCTGCAGAACAGGCAGATCAATGAAGTACACTGCTGAGCGGAGCAGTGGGTGGGTCAGGAGAGGTCTGCCACGCATGTGGATCTCCTCCGGGGCAGGCAGGGATCGAACTCATGCGGAAGTGGCTTAAGTACTGTGCTTTAACCTACTGCGTCACCAGAGAGGGCTTAATTGCCACTTTTAAAAAAAAGGAAACTAATAGCTACCAGAGTATTTTGAAAACATTTTGTCATTTAGTCAGCACATGTACTGAAATGATAGAGTAACCCCATCAGTCCTAGATTGCTACAACAGAATGAAGTCAATTCTGTCTCATTTGAGCACTGAAAGTTTGGGTCTGTATTCCAGTTCTTAGCACTTATAAGTACTATCAAATGCATGTCGCCTTTAATCATGGGAAGCACTAACTACTGAGTCCTAACAAGAACCAGTCTGTAGGTACTAAAATTGAGAATGGCCCTCTGAAATGTTGACTATCCTGAACTAGAATTCATTGACATGTTTTTTTGTTTGATGATGTTTGGTCCTGTTTTGGTCCTATAGAGTAAGTACTTTATTGAAACTACTCTTAATAGTAGCTGATATTCAAATGCTAGAATAATAGTTTTCACCGTAAGTTGTTTTTAAAGACACTAAACAATACTTCAATAAAAGTTGTAGCTTATTTTTTTAAATCACTACTAAAATACTTAGCTTGCCTTCATTTTAATGAAAAGTGTTATGTTGCATGGCCGCTCCAGATTTCAGTAAATATTTAATTAGGAATCAGAAATAACTTTAAGAAATGCATGAATTCTTTTAAAACTGTAGATACTTTTTGGCATGTTTGTATAAATTTGGGGATTTTTTTTCTAAAAACGCTTCCTAGGCCTTCATTGAATTTTTGAAAAGAACTTGTGACCAAACCCCCAGGCTCCCAACAACAAAGATGACAACATTAAAAAGGTCAGAGCGGCCCTCCCTGGTGGCGCAGCGGGTTGAAGCATTGCACTAAGAGGCTTGAGCCAATTCCACATGAGTTCGATCCCCGCCTGCCCCAGAGGTGACCACATGGTGTGGCAGACCTCTCCTGATTCGCCTGCTGCTCCCCTCAGCAGTGGACTTCGTAGATCTGCCTGTTCTGCTTCCCACTCTGTCTCTGGTGAATCCTCTCACCCTCCGCATCTCTGGCCTGTACCCCAGTTCTGTATGAATAAATAAATAAAACTTTTTTTTTTTAAAAAAAAGGTAAGAGCAATTTAACATATGAAAATGACATTTTGGATAGAAAGACATCATAGTTTAAATTAAAGGGACAAGTACAAGAATCCATTTTAAAAGGGAAAACACAATTTCTAACATTCAAAATTATGAAATTATGTCAGGCTAAGATTTATCTTTTGTGACATTCATTGTCACATTGATCCATACAGAAATACTTTGAGGTCTATATTACTGTTTTATCAAAAATTATAAGAAACATGCTTTAACATCATGTTTTCTAATTTTATTTATTTTACTATACCAAAATTTGTGTAAGTATTCATGAAAACCCCATGTATCTATTTTTACTTTTGTGATGGAAGAAAAAGAATATAATTCAACCATTACAGAACTGTTCTTTAGAGATACTTCAGGAATATGCCAGCTTTCAAAAGTGAGAAACACATGACTCAATTTTGTGAGAAAGAACTTAAGCACTATCTTGTAGGAAAATCTAAACAATCATAAATGAAGAGTTCTCAAAAAGTGATCTCTGGAGCAACGGTACCTGGGTGCTTGTTAGCAATGCAAATTCTTGTGCCAGTTATACCCAAGATCTACTGAATCAGAAACTTTGGCGGTGAGGCTACCAGTATGCTTCCAGAAGTCCTCCAGGTGATTTTGATGTTCTGTAAAGTTTGAAATATAAGCAAAACAAAACATTTCTGTGCACTTACCACTTGTAGTATAAATTGTGAATTTAATAGATGCTACTATTTCATTATGCTCATACGTTTCACACTCAAAAGCCAAGGGGCGAGTTTCCCTACGAACATCCAGGATTGCTGTATCATTTGCAAGTACAATGGGTTGCTATTTAAAAAGAAAATAAAAAGCATCAACATTTTTCATGTAAACTTAAGATCAAGAACAGTTTTCCATAATGAAAGAAGAGTCATTGTCTCTTTTAGTCTAGGACAGTAATTAATCGTGCACATGGATTTTAAAGTCAGACAATACAGACACTGAATCCCAGCTCTACCACTTCCTACCTCTTCATCTCAGTTACTCTTCCGTAAAATAGGTACAATGACAGGAATTACCTTTTAGGTTATCAATTAAGTTAAAAGAAACTCCAGCACTTGGCTATGTCTGTTGCTTAATATTCCCTCAGTTAATTATTATTTTACAATAACTACATATAAAGGAAAATCTCACTTCCACAATAAAATATATAAAATGGATGCTTTTAAGTTCTCATAACAGCTACCCTTCAGGCAAATGTAAACTTCACTCCACTAAATTAAAAAAAAAATAATAGTTATCTGATCTAACTTCAATTATTAAAACTGGCTTTAAAGATAAAGATTTTTGACAGTCATTAGAACTGGATAACTAATTTCATCGCTCATTAAAAAGTATCAGATTACATACATTCATTACTCACTTGGTCTGGCCTTAGAAGTTTCCAAACATATTTGAAACGATTGACAGGAGATATGTGAACACATGAAAGTCTAACACTGTCAAGACTTTCTGAAACTGGCTTACTCCCTGAAAAAAATTAAACATACATATACTACTGCACAATGTAAATTGTTTTAAATATAATACTTCTTTCTAAAGCCACTTCTAATTTTAGAATCAATTATATGCTGGAAGTTATCAAAGATTTTTGAGAGTAATGAACAGAAGGAGTGATGCATGGAAAGATGGTGACCAAAAGTTGCAGGTAGGAGACAACCAAGCTGTCTGTTCCTTCTACAAAATCAAATGTGGAGATGAGGCACAGCAAAGGCAACCAACTAATTGGCTTATTAAATTTTGAGAACTACCAGTTGCTCCAATTTACTTGTTCGAGATCCTCATTAGAGATAATGAACTTTCAGGGTAATGTAACTTGATATCAAATAACTCTTGAAGATCCTCTAAGATTTACCAATCTACTAATAAAATATCATAATCAAAGTATCAAAATCATTTCACTATAGGACAGTCTCAACCATAGACCCTGAGTATATTTAAAGCTCCAGTGTATCAGGAAGAATATATTTTAACTTTCAGACATCACTTAAAAATGTAAATCAGAGAAGGAAGTTGCTCATGGTTACAGAAGTGGGATTCTGTTTTATTATCATTTCCTTTCAATGTATCAATTATCACCTCCTTTTGGCAACCTGAACTTAAAAATGTTCCTCTCAGCCTCCCCCCAATATAATGTTATTTTTAAAAGATTTATTTATGTATGCACACAAGAACTGGGTTACAGGCCAGAGGTGCAAGGGATGAGACAATTCACCAGAGACAGAGTGGGGAGCAGACCAGGCAAATGTACCGAAAGGCACTTCTGAGGGGAGCAGCGGGCAGGTCAGGAGAGGTCTGCCACGCCTCCAATATAAATTTAAACTCACAGCCACAATCTACTGGTCCATGGCATTCTTCTACCCTTACGATACACTTGGATTCTCCTCCAGGGCATCCATTTGTTAATATAACTTCTCTAATACCAATACCTTTGGCAAAAAAAAGAAAAAAATTAGCAAATGTTAACAAAACTAATTCTATTGTCCTTCTACTTTTCTACCTATGTCTTTTTTGAGGTTTCTCTCCTAATTTCAAATTTAAATTTCTAAATTTAGGATAACATTAAAAAATTCTGCAGGTCCCTCACTTAACATATTCTCTTAGAACAGTATTTTCAAAAGTAAGTTACATGAAACACTACTCCTTCTGGATTATGCCACAATAAGAGAGTCTATATGATTACATATATTTGAAAATTGACAATAAATAAAATTAAAATGACTGCTTTACCACAGAAACTTTCAAAAGCTAAAAAATTAAGTTATTGTGGGTATATTTTCATCTTTAAAACCAGTATGTATCTTGCAACTGACAGCATGTCATAGATTAGCAGCACTTTTCCTTTTTTGGTGATGCACAGGATGTGTTTCTTACAGTTAACCAAGTCGTAGACTATTTCATATAATAGTACACAGAATGCCTCAAATTAATTTGACCATAGAAAGTTTAGAAGACACACAGGGATTTGGAATTTTTGGAGAAAATTCTAAAATCAAAATTAGTATAAAGTTAGTTAACATAGAATTTCTTCAAAGATAGACCACACCTGGGTCACAAAAATAAGTGTCAAAAAAATTCATGAAGGTTGAAACCATATCGTGTATCACAAAGGTATAAAAACTAGAAATCAAGCACTAAACATTGGCTGGAGAAACAGCCAATAACTATTGGATCAATAAGGAAACCAAAGAAGAAATTTAAAAACACCTGGAGACAAATGAAAATATACAAGCTATCAGAACCTCTGGGATACAGTAAAAATAGTACAAAGAGGGAAGTTAATAGCAATACAGACCTACGTCAAGAAACAAGAAAGGGTACCTCTCCTGCCCACCTGTGACTATGCAGGTGTTTCTCTTCACAAACCTTTTTCCTTTACAAACTAGGCAGCAGCTCTTTCTGCTTACTAGTGTCTGTGTAATCATCTTCTCCTTTCCTTTTCCTAATAAATCTGTCCTTTAAAAAATATAAGATTAAAAAACAAGAAACAAGAGAGATCTCATATAATAATCTAATTTTACACCTTAGGAATTAGAAAAAGAGTAAATGTACCCAAAGCTCAATAAAAGTAACAAAATAATAATAAAAGTCAGGGTATAAGTAAATGACCTAAACATTTTAAAAGATAATAAAAAAGATTAATGAAACTGAGAGTTGGTTCTATGGAAAGATAAACAAAATAGACAAATCAAACAAAATAGACAAGTCCTTAACTAAACTCACTAAAGGAAAAAGAAAGAAAACTGTCACAAGTGGAATTAGAAATGAAAATGAATTTACAACAGATCCTGTAAATACAGTGCTCATAAGAATAATTATATTGGCTAACTTAGAAATCTGGAGGAAATAGGCAAATTCTTAGAATCATGCATCCTTCCAAGACTGAATCAGGAGGAAAGAGAAAAGCTAACAGACCAATTACAAGGAAGGAAACTGAACAATAATCAAAATTCTCTCACAAAACAGAAATCCAACACCAAATGGTTTCACTGATAAGTTCCACCAAAACTTCAAAGATGAACTAATGCTATCCTTCACAAATTCTTCCCCAAAACTGAGAGGAAATACTTTCAAATGCATTTTATGAGATGAACATTCACCTGATAACAAAAGCAGATAAACACATGACCAAAAAAGTAAACTATAGACCAATATTTCTGCTGAATACAGATGTAAAGGTCCTCAACAAAATCTTGGCAAAACTAATTCAACAATACATTAAAAGGTTCATGTATTATGACCAAGTGAGATTTAGTCCCAGGATGAAAATATTCAACTTCAACAAATCCATTGATGTAATTCACCACATCAGCAAAAGGAAAGATAAAAACCTGAAGATCATATTATAAATGCAAAGAAAATATTTGATAAGTTTCAATATCCATTTATGATTAAAACTCACAATAAAATGCAAGAAAGAAAGAACATAACTCAGATAATAGAGACTGCTCACAGTATATTCAATGGTGAAAACCTGAAAGCTTTGCTCTAAAAATGTGTGTCCATTTCTGCCACTACTATTCACACAGTACTGGAAGCCCTAGTCAGCACAATTAAGCAAGAAAAATAAGTAAAAGGAATCTAAATTGGAAACTAATAAAACTCACTATTTTCAAACAATATAACATACTAGAAAACTCTAAAATCTATTCAAAATAATAAATCATCACAGTAAAGTGGCAGACTGAATATCAATATACAAAAAAAAAGTTGTATATCTATATTCAGATCAGTCTTGGAGAGAGAAAAATCATGAACACAATCTATTTTTAATCACATTAAAAAGAATTAAGTATGTAGAAATAAATTTGAAGGAAGCCAAAGATTTTTACAATAAAAATTATAAGACACTGTAAAAGAAACTCCCCCCACAAATAGAAAGATATTACGTATTTATAGACTAGAAGAATTAACTTTATTAAAATGGCTATCTTTCCCAAAATAACTTATAAATTAAAATAAAAGCTTTTAAAATTCCTGTTATTCCTCAAGGAAATGCAATAAACATTACTAAATTAAAAGACCCCCAAATCCAAAACAATCCTAAGCAAAAATAAATAAATAAAAAAGAATGGAGGCACTATATACTTCCACACTCTAAACTAGATTGTGAAGTAATAGTAATCAAAGCAGAATGGTATTAGACCAAAAATTGGGTCAGTGGAATAAAACTGAGAGCCCAGAAATAAATTCATACTTAGGACAGGCACTTTTGAACAAAGGCATGAAGAGCATACTATGGAAAAAGGAAAATCTCTTCAACAATGGTGTTGGGAAAACTAGATAGTCACATGCAAAAGAATAAAATTAGACCACTACTTCACATTGTACACAATAGACACTTCTCAAAGAAAACAGAGATGACCAAAAGTCAAGTGAAAAAAAATGTTCATCATCGCTTTCAAATCAAAACCACAATGAGGATAATTTCACACCTGTGAGAACAGCTGAAATCAAAAGGACCAAAAACAATGCTGGTGAGGGTGTGGAGAAAATTAATCCTCGTCAACTGTTAGTGGGAGTATAAGCTGAACCAGTCTCTATAGAAAATAATATGGAGGTTTCTTGAAATATTAAATATAGACTCTCATATGATCCAGTAATTCCATTCCTAAGAATCTATTCATATGCTATAAATGCACTAATGCAAAAAGAGATAAATGCACTATTATGTTCATTATAATAATTATGTTATGGAAACAACGTAAGTGTCTCTAAACATGATTGAATAAAGAAAAAATCTCTCACACACACACACACACACACACACACACACAGAGAGGAATACTACTCAGCTCTAAAAAAGACAAAATCTTGCTATTTGCAACAATGCAGATGAAAGTTGAGGGGATTATATCTAGCAAAATTAGACAAGGGGAGAAAGATAAATACCAGACAATTTCCCTGACATGAGGGGGAGGGGAATACAAAACAAAGCAACAGACTAAATCAAGCTAAAACAAACCCTTGGAAGCTGTCTGCAGAATTTAGGATAATAGAGGGGAGAAAAGGAGTTGGGTGGAAAGGTGGGAGAGGCACAAGGCTCTGTAATGGAGAATTACCAGCATGTTGGTGGTGGGTGTGGTGTTATAACCTCTCTA